TGGACCTTTCAATAGGACAATGATCCCAAGCATACCTCCAAGTCCACTAGAGCATGGTTGCAGAGGAAAGGCTGGAACATTTTGGAGTGGCCATCGCACTCACCAGACTTAAATCCGATTGAGAACCTCTGGTGGGACTTAAAGAAAGCAGTTGCAGTGCGCAAGCCTAAGAATTTGACTGAACTGGAGGCTTTTGCCCATGAAGAATGGGCGAAGATACCTGTAGATCGCTGCAAGACACTTGTGTCAAGCTATGCTTCACGTTTAAAAGCTGTTATAACTGTAAAAGGATGTTGTACTAAGTACTAAGATTGAATGTCACTTGGGGGTTGAATAAAAACTAATAATGATGTGAGCACAGAAAAGACATTTGTGGTTATTTCATTATAAACTTAAGGTTATATTTCTCTGACCTACAAGTGCCTCTTTCATGTAAATGTAAGCAAGATGACTGAATGATCAAAATCAATGTCAAAATGGCCAAAACATTCAATTTCAGTGGGGGTTGAATAATTTTGAACACAACTGTAGTCTGCTTCTTCTTTCAAAAAAATCTAATTATCTTAACATTTTAATTTGTTTTCAGTTTTACCTATATACATCCCTAATTTTCAATTGAGCAACACTGATACGAAGAGAGAGAGAGGAGGATCACCCAACCTTGCTGGAATTTTGTCTTTCCAAGGAGCACAGAGTAGGGCATGCGTGGGAAGCCTCGGAACCCAATTTCAGCTCTGCAAAAGGGCTTCTTTGCCAAGCCAGATTTATTTTTCATTTCTGCCCGGTGGTGCCCTTTTGCCTTTTCCAGCCTCCCGTGGCCAGTCCTGCCGCTGGCTGAGACCTATGCCAGGCCTTGGATGTTTCTGGAGAAAGAGAGGGTGGGTGCTTTTGCCAGGGGGTGAGAAAACAACATCTGGCGTTTTTCTGGCTTTGTGCAGAATACACACACATATATAGGCGCCTCTTCCTCCTTTTCTTGAGAAGGGAGGGGGAGAGCAATCCCAGCTGGGAGGGGTTTCTCGGCACCTGAAGTGCATTTCCTTGTAGTTTCTCCCGCTAAGCCCACAGTTCTGATTAAAGGGATGAATTATTGAAATCTCTCAATTGCTGCTCAAGGTTACCACTTTCCCCGCCTGTGAGAGCCAGGGTTTGTTATGCTAATGTGTTGTTTTGTTATTCAGCTCATCCGGAGTCTCTGCTCTGAGTCCTTGCATGTCTTGACACCTTGAGAAAACATTGCTTTCCTTGCCTTAATTAAAAAACACTCGTTTGGAACACCAGCGGCTTGGAAACAACTTAGTCTTTAAGGTGCCACCACGTTTTTCGTGTGTTTTTTAAAATTTATTTTGTTTTGTTTTCACATCTAATGCTTGCACAGAATCACAGGGCTTACCCCTTCTAAAATAGCTAGTTTCTGTTAGTTCCTTTTTTTTTCTATGATGAAGATAAAGTTAACATAAATTAATGTGGTGGTTTGGTTCTTTGACCCTTTGAGTATTGTCTACTCATTGTTACTTAAATACTATCTTTAATTTGTTGTAAGTTCACTTGGTTCCTTTTTAAGGAGAAAAGTAGATTGAAAAATATTTTAAATAAATAGTCCAAATAACACTGGAGAATCAAATTTTATTTTTTTTAAAGGTAAAAGGTAAAGGCTCCCCTTGACAATTTTTGTCCAGTCGTGTTCGACTCTAGGGTGCGTTGCTCATCCCCGTTTCCAAGCCATAGAGCCAGCATTTTGTCCGAAGACAATCTGCCGTGGTCACT